ATATAAACACTAAGAATTGCATCAAAAATTTATCTTTAAAACAATTTGTCTTTAAATACCTACTAATATTCATGTTTACAACTTAACAAAATAGTAAATAAAACCAACTGATTAAAAGAATATGAACCAAAAGCTACCACTAGTTCAGACTATTATAATTCAGCCTTGGCTGAATTTTCACTTGATAAAATTACTAGAACTCTTAATCAGCTTCCTAATAACAAAGTATATAAATCATCTGAAATTAGTTATAAAATATTTAAATAGGCTGGTCCTACTTTTTTTCAAGCAATAGTTACTCTCTTTAATTGATACATCCAAACTTCTTATATACTTAAGCAATAGAATGAAGGTTGCATCTTTTTAATATCTAAAAAATCTATTTTTGATAAAAACTTCTCTAATACAAGACCTATTAGCCTTGTTGAACATATTAAGAAACTATATACAAAACTTCTTATTAACTGTCTTAATTTAATACTCACACAATATTCTATTCTATCTTTTTACAACTATATTGTTTTATCTGGCAACAGCACATCTATTTCTATATATATATTTAACAATATTATCGAAGATACTAGTTGCAACAACAAACAATTATAGCTTTTGTCTTAGAACATGAGCAAAGCATATGATTTTGTCAATTTAGAACTTTTTACAAAGTTTCTTAAACAGATATTAATGCCTTAAATTCTCATTAATATACTTACCAATCTTCTTACTAACTACCAAAACTGAATTATATCTAATCTTGGTCTTACTAATTTTTATTCAATTAAAAATGATATAGATCAAGGAGAAACTATAATTTTATTATTCTGAAAAATTTATTATGAGCTTCTAATTCATAAAATTGTTTTACAATTTTCAGGTTACTCTTTATTTGCATTTTGAAAAACCAACTTACACTTATCTTAAACCTAAATTATAAAAATATCTGTATTAGTTTTAGCTTATATGAATGATACTCTCTGGATTGCAAAGTCCAAAAAGAAGCTTAATCTAATAACTAAAACTGTATATCTTTCTATTAAATGGCCAATATCCAAATTAATCTAACAAAGTTTATTCTAGCTACAAACTTCTCTACTATTTCTATGTAATTTTCTGGATCTTTAATTTATTCTATTTCTAAAAATTAACTCTTCAAGTTTCTTGGATGTTGGTTTACACATAATAACAAATAATCCTAAGCTATCAAACTAATAAAAGAAGAGGCTTACAATCTTATCAATATTGCTAGCACAAAGAAAATTACTGACAAACAAATTGCTTACATTATTAATATAGAATCATTCCAACTTTGGAATATCAATTACATAACACTATTCTTCTTCACACTACATATAACCAAATCTTATCTAAATACTTTACTGTAACAAAACACAAGTCTTATCTTTCTAAATCTATACCAAATAACACAATGCTTAACTCATATTTATATAATATTTATAATATATAGGACATTTAACTTCAGCATCACATCTTTAATTATCTTTAACAAATCAACAACTCTGATCTTTTTGAAATTATAACTCAAATTAGACTTCAACAACTACAAAATAAGTTATGCTTTCCTATTAATATTTTACATCATCCTAAACCAATTATTGATGGTTCTAACAGACATTCATTAAACTTTAAAATTATTTAACTTTTTATCCATCTTGGCTTAGTAATCTCAGCCAATTCTAATATTATATAGCTCTATACAATTAGTAATAAAGACTAAAAACTAGAATCAATCTTATCTTAGCATTCTAAATATCCAATTTTTAAAAAACAACTTAGACAATTTAATATTATGTATTTACTAATTCACAATCAGTAATCTCCAAATATTATAATATTTGTCAATCAACATCTACTCTTTCTCATACTCATACTTTATATTTCTCCATCTGGCAAATACTTATCAACTTTATTAAATCTTATAAAATTTAACTTATTTTTTACAAAATTATTGCATATTAAGATGACCTATTTAACAATCTTGCTGATCAACTTATTCATAATTATCAAATATTATCTTATCTAATATTCTTAACTAATAATTCTTATAACCTTAACTATACTTCTTTCATTAATAAATTTTCTATTGAAATTCATATCTGATGCTCTATTCAAACTATATGCCAAGACCACATTATAATATTTTGGACATCTTAATATTATTTTTAACAATGGTCTACCATTACATTTAACATTAACTAGGAAGCTACATGGCTTTATATTAATAATAATCAAAAAATTTCAATTTTGTTTATAGCTTTTATTCATTTATTCTGAAAACTTTTTGAGTTAAAATTCTTATAGATAAACTTCCTGTTCCTTATACTCTTCATAAACATAACTCTTTATTTTCTTCTTCTTGTTATTAATGTAACCAAACTAGCTCTTTATTCTATTGGATTATCTGTCTATTAACTCAAACAATTTATCATTTAATTTATAATTCTCTTAATAGTATTTTAAATACAACTAATCTTAATATGTTTGCTAATCTTATTTCTGATTTATATACTAAAATTCTTACATTTAACAGTTTCAAATTATATAACTCTTTACATATATCTTCATTTATTTCTATTCTATTTGGTCTAGTTCTTATTGATATTATTTCTACTATCCATAATTCTTCTATTTTTTATAATACTATCACTACTCTTTCTATCAAACCTCTTCTTTATTTAAACTAACAAATATACAAATAAATATGGATTTCTTATTGTATTTAATGTTCTGTATAGTTTCAAATCATACTTTCTACTAACTCAACTCATAGTTTCTCTTCTAACTTACCTTTACTATCTATTTTAATACTACAAACTATTATTAAAATTGATCTTTGAACTATCTAATAAATTAAATATCATACCTCTCTCTCTTATATTATTATTTAAATTTAAATCTAGGTGAGCCTTGGTCACTCTTGTAGATTTAGGTCACAGATTATAGATCTAAGTCTTTATTCTTCATATGTAATTTAAAAGCAAGCTTTTCTTTATAAAAACTTTAATTGAATTTCAATAAAATTAAAAACATAATCTTATCATTAATATTTTTTTTTTAAAAAAAAAGAAATAATAGCAATTAAGAATATAGAACCAATAACAGAAGCAATGATCTATAATTAGATATATTTTTGAAGAAAGCTTAAGTTATTTAAAGAAATATATTATTTGACAAGAAGAAATAGTATAAAAAAAAGTGTTTTTATGAAATATATATTAGACAAACTTCTGATTTTGGAAGAACTCAACAAAAAAAAAGACTAAAAATATACATAATAGCAGAATATCAAATTTATCAAAACAAAATCAAAGAAATACAAGAACATTTAATATATTGTAAGAAACAAACAAAACTATAAAAAAGAATATAGAAAGTATTTTTTGCAACAATATGAAAAAGTTTAAAAAAAAGAAAAAATTCAAGTCCTATCTTATGTATTATATAAGGTATTTTTTGAAAAAACAGAAAGAAATAAGGAAAATACTAATCAAAAACCTAATTCTAAAAACAACTTAAGACAGATTATTATAACTTTTGAGTATAAAAACAAGACAACAATTTATAAACATAGTAGTAGAAACAACATGAAACTAAAGATTTGAACCAGTTAGACTATAATCAGTTAACTGATCCAAGCTAAAAAATTTTAGATACCCAATTAAGTAAATTTTTAATTAGTTGACCTGTACAACTGGTTGAGAATCAATAATCAGATAAAAGAATCAGGAATAAACAAGAATTTCAAAAAAGTATATAAAGAATAAGCAAGATGAAGACAAAAATTTGAATATAGATTTGAGATTTTCTGAAGATAAAATATAAAGTAATCTTAATCAGTTTAATCAGTTGATATAAAATATTTCAGTTCAATTAATCAATTAAGAAAATTTTTCTAAATTTAAATCATTACATAAACATATTTTATGAACAAGTCTAAAAAATATACTATGAAAAAATTAACACAGAAAAAGAAAGAGGAATAACAAACAAAGTAAAAAAAAGAAAACAAAAGAAAAAGAAAAATTTGAGCAAGAAGAAAAAAATTAGTTAGCAAGAAATAGAAGGAAAAAAAAAGTAAGAGAAAAAAGAAAACAAATTGAAGAGGAAGTTAGGAAGACAATTTGGAAGCTTGTCATGAAAGGAAAAAAATCTTTTCATTTCGAACTTTAAGTAATCAGATAAGCAGCTTACCTCTACTGGAGGTAATGCAACAGGTTGCACTTAGGTGCCATTAAGGTAGTCGGGTGATGCTAGACTTAGTTGTTAGTATATTTAATTGCAATAGTAATTTCAAAAATCTTAATAAAGCACTAGTGTGACTGCTTATATTAAAAAAAAAAAAAAATTCTATCATATGTAATAAAAAAAAAGACACTGTAACTTTGTAGTCATAAAACGCATGAATCGAAATTTTTGAAGAAAAGATAAAATGCAAACAACGCATCTAAAACAATGCGACTCATTTTTATATATAAAATGCATCGATTAGTTAATCAGGAAATAATCACTTAAAAATCTGTTATATTAGAATTTTCTATGATGCCACACATAGTTTTGATTTTTATAGTGTACCGCACACTCCAATGTGTAAGTTAGCTTTTTTAAAAGCATCGAAAATTAAAAACCAGGATGGACGATTGTTTTTTTTTTTTAATACTCGTACGCGCTTTTTTAACATATTAACATTGCTGTTTCCTGTACTAGTGTGGTTCCTATCAATTATTCATAATTATAAGAATCGGTTATTTCTAGTCTAATCCGCAAAAACACAGGTCAACCTGTTAACCATGGCCTGACTATAATAACCTTCTTATTTTTTCAACCTACCATGCATTCCTTAATAAGCGGAGTCCTTGGTTTTGGTGCTTATAAACTTATAAAAAGAATCTTGAATCGTATTTGGCCACCTACACGACCATTTTATCCAGCAATGATATCGATGCATGAACAATTGAACCAAGTAAAAAAAACATTTTGAAGACATGTTGCCTTCCATTTTTGGAATTACTAGTGAAATGAAACGCTCACGAGAAGTAATTGAGGAGATATATTCGTCTTCAATTGAAAAGATTCAAGCAGTTTATGATAACAATAAAGATATTGGACTTTTATTTGGAGATACGATTCTTCAATTATTAGATTTTCAGAACCGCAAACCGTTATTTCAAAGACTTTTGCTGCTTCAGATTCACGTGGAAATTATCAAAAAACGAATGGCGTCACAATTGAATATATTGCAACTAGAATGAATGGTGAAAGAGCATTTGTCAAAGCTATAGGATATTTGGATAATAACAGCGAAGTGATATTTAAAGAAATTCGGTTACTTCGGCCATATACTGAAGGAATCACCCTCAGAGTTCGGGTGATAATCTATGAAATTGCCGCAGCATATATTTTATTTCGTCATATAATGCGAATGAGCGAAGTTACCTAATGTTTTTTTTTTTATAACTCGAAAATAGTTTTTCAAATAGAATGTCCAAGTTCTTGGTTATCCAAAATAAATTTTTGATTATCGGCGGCTGCTGCAGCATTTTCGAATTGTCACCTATAAATTATACGTAGATTATCACCCAAACTTTCAGGGGATCCTTGGCTGATTCTATACTGAACAAGAAATTAACGTTCCATTACAAGATACTAATAATTCGAAAACAACAAATATGGACCAAACGTTATGGAAGCTAAATATCGTGATATTAAAGAATAACATAGCAAGCTTAATAATGTAATAATTTTGAATGCTTTATTTTTTGTTTTTTTTTGCTTTAGAATAACGGATCATTAGACCATTAGCAATGAATATGTCAGCTTGATTATCGATAATATTCTTTTCTACGTATCATATAAACTATTAACATTAATATTTAAATTCTTATTGCTGATTATAAAATCAGCATGACAATATTATTCATACCCCAATATGAATAATTCGAGTAATGTCGTTAATAAACGTAAAGATCGTCGTCTTCGTCATCTTCGTAGTCTTCGTCTTCTATCAAAGGTGCAAAATGCTGACATGTTGGCTTGTGTTTATGATTTCCTTCTTTCCGAATTTGGTCATAATCCGATAAACATCTGAAGATTAGGAACAAAAATATCAAAACTTGCCCCTTAAAAAAAATATACACAAACAAAAAATGTCACTCACAACCAACAAAATTCAAAACCACAGATGCAAGTCATGTGTTCACACCCATCTTTCTTTTCTATCGGCCATTTACACTTAGGGCATTGTTTAGTGTGTCGATCATGATAGGCATTGTTAGCTGCACCATGAGGATCATCTTCCATTTGTTGTTTAAACTCTTCACAAGTAATTCCCTCATGCCAGGGTACATCACATGTGTAGCAAGTTTTAAATTTACAAGCATGACAAGTCATGATTGGAGCTTCATCTAAAAAATAACCAAAAGGATGAATTATTAGTGTTTAATTTAGCATTTGTTAATTTAAGTATGATACCACCTCCTGAACTATGTTCTTGGCCCCATCCACAGCCTTGACGCTTACACCAACGGAAATCTTCGAGTTGTCGAATTACTTGACGTAGCAAGAATAACCCATAACTATTTTTTTTTAAAAAAAAACATGAATTACAGTATCTAAAATTCCGAATCGTCATTTTTTTTATAATTACCGCTCAAATAAATCTGCCGGGATTAACCGTTTAACGTCGCAATAACCAAGAACAACTTCACAACTAGCACTAGGACATACAATATTAACAACGTTTCCTTTGAAAATTTCAGACCGGATGTGTTTCACGACACAAGCACGGCAGATGTTATGTTCATGATCGCATGAGTCAGTGATGGGTGGATACTCTGAGGCAGAATTGTAGCAAACCCTACATGTAGAAATTTTATCGGTAGCACTCATTTATGCAAGGTTTATAACGATAATTGTCAACGTTCTTTATGTGGAGTCTGAATCAGACAATTTTTGATTTGTAAATTAAAGAATCGCGTAATACACATGAAATACTACAAAGCTTTTTATATGTCAAGTACGCGATGGTTAATAATCCGATGCTGCTCATTCACCGACAGTTTATATATTGTCGCGTGGTGTGATGAAACACCACCAATAGCGTGATCATTCCGGATCAGCCCGACAGAATAACAAACACGTGTACCCAAAAACCGATCTTGGCACACTAATTAAAAATGATATCCAAAATTCCGGATCGGTCCATCGGATTTAGGCCAGCATTTAGCAATACAAGTTAACCAAAATTATCAGCTGGGCAGCTTTACTCAATGAGTAGGTCATGAGTGATCTTGGGCAAAATTAATTAATTCCGACCCTGCTAATCATGATTCCGAGGCATTCCGACCTGTAATTTTGGTGATCTGTAAAAAAATTTGGATTTAAATTTAAAAATTTTTTTTCTAATAAAAAATTTAAATAAAAGTTAAAGGATTTTACTAAAATGCACTAACAGTGTTTTACATTTATGCATGCATTATTTTAAAACTTAGTTAACTAATATGTATAAGATGTTTCAAGTAAAAATATTTTATTATTCAGAGAATATATTATACTTGTTTATTTAAAAAGTACATTTAAAGATTTTTTATTAGTTGTTATATTTAATATCTTTGCTTAGATGTTCTATTTTAAACCTTTTAATTTTACAATTTTTTTATTAACTTTATCAGACTATCTAGAACTTGGAATTTTGTCTTAATCTTAAAACTAATTTATTTTTAAAGAAAACTTTTAAACTTTTTTATATTTTTATTTATAGTTTACTTTGTTGCATTATAGTCAAAACCAATACTTGTAGTTAAAGTTAACTATTAAATTATTTTACTTTTGTAAAATTTATTTAAACTCTAATGCATATCTTTTCTGATATCTTTTTTATTATCTTCTATTAACTGTTACTCAGAATTAACAAAACGTTTTAGATTATTAATTCAAATAGTCTAATATAGTTATAGATAGGTAGTTTATATAAGTTATTTTAACTGATATAAGTTTTTTATTTTAGAATGTAACTTATATATAATTTACATAACTTATAGATAAAATAAATGCAATTAATACTATAATTTGAGTTGCTCTAATATTATAATCTGACTTATATTAATTATTATATATCTTATTTTAGCATTTAGAAATGCTAAAATTAAGAAATATAATTTTCAAAATTTTTTTTTTTTGCTATTAGCAAAAGTCAAGACTTTGTTAGCTTTTATTTTATTTAATGTTTCTAATTCTATTTTTTTGGATAACTGCATTATGTATTGTATTATTCTATCATATCAAGGATTAAAAAAAATAGTCTGCTATGCCTTATATCTTAATGCTAATTAACTTTATTATAATCTTAATTAACTTTAGTACTATATATTTGTAAGTTATATAAGATGTATATAACTTACATTGTAACTTATAATGTAAGTTATATTGTCAAATAAGTTATTTTATTATTAAATATGTATAGTATACTTTTGTATTTATTTTCTTTAGCAATTTTGATAAACTAATTAGTATATATGTTTTTCTTATATATCTGTTCTTTAGTTTATTTAATTATTTATTTAAAGATGTTTCATAAACTTTTATTAGTTTAATAGCATTATTAAAAGTTTATATTATTTTTTTATTTAAGATTTCTAAATAGACTTTTAACTTTTTAGTTCTTTTATTTTTTGTATCTAGTGATCTTATTATAGACTTGTACTGAAGTTTTATATAATATCAATTATTAATATTTTTTTTTTTTAGTATTAAGATAAGGTTTTACTTATATTTTTATTAGTAATTTTAGTTGTATATATTAATATACTATATATTAAAATATACTAAGATTGTAAACTACAAAATAAAAACTATATACAAGAATTAAAACTTTGATAGTTTTATCTGTAACCTAAACTGACTATGATAGTCAAGGCCTACTTAGATTTGTAATATTAAAATGTAATTATAAGATGTACTATAATTAATTCAAAGCATCGACTATATATTAATTTTTCTAATAGTTTATTTAATTGATAAACAGATATTAGAATATAAATATAATTGATCTGCTATTCTATATAAACATAAGTATATGTAGTTTATATATGATTTTTTGTGATATCTGATTTGTTATATTTGTTAAGAGATATGATTATTGTTAGAACTTAGAAAAGATATAATAGAGGTGTGGCGACCTAGTGAAGTGGTCAGGTTGTCAACCCTCCAAGTGGTAGGTTGGGTGTTCAAATCCTATCAATAGTGAAAATTTGGATAATCACCTATGTAATATTTGTATTACGGCAACTATTACTAATGATTGGTTTAGGATACCTGTAATGGCGGTCACATCAGCATGACTGGTAGGTCATGGGGCATTCATGTAACAGGTCACATGACATTGTCTTTTGGGACAAGGTTGTGGTTACATGAAGGAATGCAAATCGGCAATAGGTGGTGCAAATACTAGATAAGTCCTTGTAGCTATGTAAATCTGTTGAAATTGGGTAACAAAAAGTTCATTTGGGAAGACCCGAGTAGAGAGGTAGCCAGATCTTTGATGGCCCTACTGTAAAGGCTAGCCTTATAAAACAGATACCAAGGTCGAAGTAGCTGAACAGGCAAAAACCTCTAGGTGGGGGTACCACCAACCAGGTTGCCAGATCGAGCTGGAGGAAAAGGATATCGGGCTAACCTGATATATCAATGGACTGGTCGTAAGTCCTATCGGGCTATCTGGATTGGGAGTTTGGTGAACCAGCAGGTGTATACTAAAGTATTTCGGATATGCTGTGAAGTAGATGCTAGAGTTTGTGTGAACTCTACAAGGGCATAGCAGTTTAATGATCAGCCCTGACCACAAATGTTGGTTCTGCTATAGCGATACCTAGGTTAGCTGTAAAAATAGGTACAGAAGGCTCTGGGAGGTTTACTTCGAAGATAAATTAGTCCTAAGGTTGAGGACAATGATCTGGTACATCTGAGATGACCAGTGATGTTAACACAAGTTACAGATTCAGAGCGTTTAAAGTAGAACACCCAAGCAGAGGTGTTAGGTATAGCAATTAGTAGGGAACCTTCGGGCGGACTCCTTAAATAGGTAATATAGAAAAGTTACATATATAGCCAATTGTACGCTCTCCTGTAGTGGTTCATTGAACCACAATGCCAACAAGTGATTAATAAAAGTCAAAAGACCAAAGAGGTCACCTTAATACCAAAAAAAAAAAATAAATAAATATTATTCATTATATTAATTTTAAAAATAATAACTTTGAACAATTTACAAAATTTGAAAAAAACTTTTATCACTAATAATTTGCATTTGAATTTATTATTATCAGACTCGATTTACTCAAAATTGAAAAGACAATAGTAGTATTTGAACCAAATTCACAAAAATTAATAAATAATATTAATTACCTTTATCAATTTGTTATGCATATCTAACTTACACATAAT